TAACTTCAGATTTGTTCATGGTTACTTTAACTCATTCGTTTCTCGATCAGCTATAAATTTAATTTTCTTATGAATAATGAAACTTATAACTGTTTAATAACGTAAGAAAAATATATTCTTATATTTTAACATTCATTTATTACCGTAAAAATACAAAAAAGTACAAGAAAAAGGATAGAATATTTTTGCATGTACTTGAAGTATTTCAACTTTTAATTATCATTTTGTTCGAAGAGTAAATGGAATCATTAATATCTGCATAATTTTAATCTAGTTCGATAATTTTTGATTTAATTGGAAATTCGTGGTGGCATCGGCACCGTAAGACAATATGTACTTTCTCAACGAACGATGAATATTAAATCGAGTTGTGCGACGGCTCTTCGAAGTCGAACGTTCGTTTCGCGTAAACCTCTATATATATATACTTTACCTCTCAGCAGCTTACAATTCCATGGATATGTAAAAAAAAAAAAAAAATTAAAAAAATAAAATAAAAGTGAAATAGAAAGAAGAAAAGAGAACATTTTCTACCACGGTAAAGCACATGTGTAATATTGCTCGATATTCGAGACCATTGATTTACTGTCAAAATGGAAAATCAAACCGGTGTCCGAGAACGATGACCACGAAACCCAACACGTTCTATAAATATGTTTGTATGCGTTGATGAACGATACTTTCAACACATCGATCATGATATTTCGACTTTTACGGAGATTAAAAATATTTTTAAAGACAAAAAAAATATGATACCTCAGAAAACTGAAATCTTACCTGATATCAATTGAGCTTATATAAAAACAAAAATATCAATTTTCAATGATCCAAAATTAAGTAAATTTAATTTACAGTTTTATTTAAAAAATAAAAGAATCATATTTTTATCTGTTAATATATTTATATAAAAAATATATTTTTATATATTAATATTATTTTATATATATATTAATTTAATATTAGAAGATTTATTCGGTACGTTGTGTTATTATTAAATTCATTGTATTAAAATCGCAATCTTTTTTATATAAAATATATAAAAATTTATTTTAAGAAATTTTTAATTAGATGTATTAAATATATTATTAAAAAAAATAAAATAAAATATAATGAATTGCAAAACGTAAGAATTATTTTATAAATATATAATTACACATCGCATGTATAATCTAATTTTATTAATTCCTATAACTGAGAAGTTTGCGTGTAAACCACACGATTTAATGGTAAAGTGACGAGGGTGAATAGGAATTACGAGGATGAAAATTGGAATTATGGGAATTTCGAGGCTGCTAGTGGAGTTCGCGTTAACGTAATAACTCGCAAAGACGCGATTACATCGAGAAAGGAAGGAAGGAAGGAAGGAAGGAAGAGAACACGTTCGTTCTCTTTCTCGTGAAGACATAGTTTACTAAAAGTGGGATTGTACGAGCATCAAAATACGTCTTACACTACTCTTTGGGTTAAGGTGCTGGTGCACAAAATTTAGGACATATGATCGAGATACATCATTGTTGTCTAAAAAAAGAAACTAAGATACACACAGAGTATGGTAGAGAATGTGTTCATGCAACTGTTAACTGTAAAGAACAAAGAAAAGCAATGTTATAAAAAAAGACAAGAGAAAAAGAAGAAAAATATGAACTAACATAAGCCAAAATGAGGACGTACTATTACGAGACAAAGTAGAACGAAGATGAACGAAAATGAACAAAGAAGAAGAAGAAGAAGAAGAAGAAGAAAAGGAGAATAAGAAAACCGATAGTGAATGATAAAACTAGACGAACACATGCATACATGTGTGAATAGTTTTGGCAACGATACGAAAATCGTTGAAATCAAACAACGCTGAATGCTGTATCGGAAACTAAGGATAAAGAATTGCTAAAAGGAAATCAATTTTTTTAAAGGGAAACAATCTTTCTATCTTTCTCTTACTTTCTTTAATTTCTTATATCGCGTTTCACTTTTTAATTAATAATACGCCGGGTTTGTGCATGGCCACAAGGATATGTATATTGAATGACGAATGGTTATCCTGAAACCAACTCGACGAGTCGGAATATTGAGTAAATTATGAGATCACGAATATGACATTACTCTAGTTGTACATTTCGTCTTTCTTACTCCTTTCCCTTTTTTTTTTTTTTTTTTTTTTTTTTAATTAACAAACGTTCACTTGATTTATTCGATCTCACCGTCAAGAATTATTTCCGTCGAATTTTTCATTTTTCTTTTTCTTAACTCTCTCTCACTCCGTATAATCGAAAACGTTTTATTAACTTTTTAATACTATCTCTTAAGGTTAAAATGAAATATGAATTTTCTTACTTTTTTTTTCTTCGTTCTCATCGATCGATAAAAAAAATTATTATCTTATTGAAAAATAAGAATTTAAATATTCTCTTGAATCGTAAAATTCGATGATACTCCGAACGATATTTGACCTTCCACATTTTACATACGTTTATTTTTTTATTACAATATTACATTTAAGCGACAAAAAAAACGTTGCTTTATATTTCTAGACAAAGAGACTTTCAATCTATATAAATCCTATATTTCTATATATATATATGCATGTATGTATAGATACATAATGTATCAAACCACGAAGGAGCATCGTAATCTAATATCTTTTTCAAGCATGACCCTTAGTATCTCAAGAGACTGAAATTGATTTCTATGCGGACTTTCTTCTATTCCTCCGATCTCCCAAATGACATGTAGACGCGAGTTGAGAAAAAGTTTTCTCATGTACATGAGGGGAAACAAACAAAAAAATAGACAGATATAAAGAAAAAGAAAAATTAAGTAATCTATTCATCGAATCAACCTTTTGATGTACCTTACATTTACATAATATTATTTTTAATATCATATTAATATGCGTAGGGAATTTTATTTAGGGTGAGAGGTGCGAGGTGAACATACACCCAATTTAATCCTACTAATAAGATTTATTTAAAACAGGTATAAGAAAAAGTACAATAATAGTTTCACAATCTTACGATTACAACTTAGATGCGCGACTGTATTCTTACGACTGATAACGACTTATAATACAATTGCGACTGTTACGACTGATAACTAACTACGGCTACGACTACGACTGCGACTGCGACTGGTTTCCTATTTCTTTCCACGTATTTTATATCAGAAAAAAAAAATGACCCACACCCCTTTGGAGAGGGAAGGAGCTTACGAATCTTATTTACCAATAGCATAAGGATCCACCCCCATAGTCCACCGACGGATACAGCCTATGGTTTTTGGTAGTGGAAACTATGCATAAAGAAACTTGATCTAGAACACCGGAATGTTATCTCTTGTTATGATATCGCATATGTTTACATAGGAATTCGAAACTCCTCAAAGGGTCCCGACACCGCACAAAGGGTTTTTATTACACCAATATATCCCGATAATCCTTAGGTTTGTTTATGGTTTTATGGCCTTCCTAATCTTTTCTTTTAGTCTCTGTATAGAGTTTTCCTTTCCAGAAAATAAAATATAAAGAAAAGAACTGAATACTAGTTTTTCGTCTACATCTGCTACACTTAAAACTCTCCTACATGTATACAATTGCATTGATGTATTTTTCACGTGATTATTTATCGAAACTTTTCATCTCAAATAATTATATTAAGAATCTAATTATTTTATTTTTTTTTATTTTCTTTAATGTATTTTTAATAATCATCTTCTCGAGATTTCTTAGATTTATAATCGAGGATTGAGAGAAAAATAAATAAGAAGTATATAACGGAAGGTAAAAGGGCCCCGCGTATTCTTTGTTTTGTTCAATTAATTCACTATTCAGCAAAGAGAGCTTAATTATAGTTTAATTAAAATCCTCGCTGGCTAACTGAGGATAAGTTTGAGAAGTTAATTCCCGCAGAGAGTCGACGATACTTTCATATTAAGCCGTACCACAACTCTTACTCTTTCTCTTTCTCTTTTTCTTTTTCTATATCTAACGAAGAAAATAAGTTAATTATATTACAGCAATGCGAGTTGCGTTTCCATTTCTTTTAGTTATCATCGTACGCACGATTCAGGAAAGCTTTTAAATTCGTTTTCAGTAAACCACGGGGATCCGTAAGTCAGCAACTTGCAGTAGGTATATTTGATTTTCCTTATGTGTCTGACCATACTCGACTAATACTACTTAGAAACGTGACTACTCTTTTTATCGTGTTTATCAAGAAATAAAAAATATTTATTAAAATTTCAGGATATAAAAATTCAACTTAAATTTATAACATAATACTAAAATATTTATGCTTCATTTAAAGTTGCTACTACAATTCATTAATTTTAATATTATAAGAAGCTTACATATATATATATTTATTATAATACTTTAAGACAAAAAACAAATAAGTATTTTTATTTTTACGATACCTATACACGCATATATTACTAGACATGTTTTTTTACCTCTCCTAACTGCCGTTTCTTTATTCTGTTTTATACCGTTAACGCGTACCTTTAAGAGCAAGCGAGAAAAGTGATAATTTTCCGGTATAAGCGAAGTTACGCGATACCTGGCACCGCATTGCGGAGTAATACCGTGAGCATTATGGTATTCCTGGCTATAAACCAAGCCCCGGGTGTGTATATGTAACGTATGAAACATGCCTCGTGGTTTTTCGCACCTTCTTTTTCTAAGTATTTACTGCTAACGTTTTGTCTTTTTCTATTTTATTTAAAGATTCTTTTAACAACATTCGTTAGTAATAAAAATATCATCTAAGTATAACATAATCAATAATTAGAACAAATTGTTTATTAATATCTCTAAATACATTTCAAACGATTATAAAAAATAAATACCTTTTTTTATTGTATAAACAAATTTTTTAATTTGTATGATAAAATGTGTAGGATGTATTTTTAAAGTAAGTCATATGATATTTCAATGTTCCCTGATCAGCATGATCAATCCATCTGGAGAATCGCTAACGTGCTGACACAAGAACGATGGGTTGTTTCAGATGACGGAAACGTCAAAGCCGCGGTACGAGAACCGCAGTAGCGGGGAGAGATAAGGAAGGTGAACGGCATCACGCCGAGCAGTCATGTGCAGTGTCATGTGGCTCCTTCGGCTGCTGACAACTTGCTGCCTCGCACTTCTATCAGCATCTGATTTACGCACAGGTAACATTTACAATTCCATTGTTTTCATTCAAGGTACTACTATCTATCTATTCACTAACTTGAACATATCATCAGTATGTGAAATCATATCACAATATTACGATTGCAATTTTTAAAAGCAATTGAAAATGTTTCCACTTGTTCATTTTTTAAATACAAGTCTTTATAATAAATAATATTTGATTTGTGTGAAAATAATGGAAAATATATTTCGTCGATTTGCAGCGTGTATTGTTTTTTCGTTTAAATAACAAAATGGAATAAAAAAAAAAAAACGCCACGTGCTTTTAATTATCGATGGTATGAATGACAAATATTCGTTCGTTCAAATATTTTATATTCTTTTTGTTTTTTTTTTTCTTTTATTGAGTTTTCTCTATTTAATGCAAAATCGACAACGAAAGCTCAGTATGTTACGTTTATTCGGTAATAATACACCCTCGAATAATCCAGCGCGTTGCACGAATAGCCATATTGTTATTCTATTGGTTCGAATAGTAGAATCGTTCATGAAGAGACCAAGGAAGCATGAAATCCACATAGTGGTCATTGTGCTTCGGAATACCTGTGCTTACAGATTTAACCTAATTATTTGTGTCAGTGTACGATACGTACGCGCATGCCACTTTACGATAATAATAATAATAATAATAACAACAATAATAATAATAATAATAATAACAACTCGAGCTATGATTCTCTCTATTTAGTGTTCGTTGTATTTCTGAAGTCGTCTTAAGAATAAATACCCTCAAGCTCGAATGCGTATAAAATAAAGCGGATATACCCTTTGAACAGAGTGAAATTTGCTAGTTTGCATAGTAAAACATTTCGTTATATTCTATCGATGGTTATAAATAAGCTTGCCGTTAACGATGATGCATTCTAAAAACTTTTAACTTAAGTATACCTACTATACATATATATCGAATAGTTTATTCAATTCCACGCGACCATCTTTGATAAATATTTTATATATATATATATATA